TATATATTGATCACTGGAGCTCGACGTGTCGACATTTATCAGGAAAGCTGTCGTAGGTTCCGCTGGAAAGAGAGGGAATCCAGGGTCCAGAGCAATACATTCCAGGGAATGTCGATAAGGTGTCACTCTAGCCTTGATTCTTTATCCCAGGTCGTGATGTTTAGAGTATTGAAAGTGGCAGGCATACTAGACTATCATTGGCCAATCATAGCGCCGTCCGGCAACGTCGGCATAAAAGCTTGGCCTGGAGATCCATAGCGCTAGTGTTGAATTTTCACGGTGGATCACCAACTCAAAGTGTTCAAGGAACAAAAATTTCTGGATCGCTGATCCAGAAAACCAAAAAGAGATGACCGACGCAGGGATCGAACCTGCAATCTCTTGATTCGTAGTCAAGCGCCTTGCCATTGGGCCAGCCGGCCAATTGTTGATACCTTGGTTCAACTAATAGTTATATAAGGCATGGTTATATTCTGTGTGAGGGCTAGTCGCCAGCATGGTCTATAAGCGAGGCACCCCTGTCGGTAATAGAGGCTAGTTGCTTAGAATACTAGTATTCTGCCTGGGTCGAGCATCCATTCCAAGTGCAGTGGCTCTGTTAGATGGCAAGTGAAGGCAGGCAGGTAAAGCTGCATCTCAGGCCAGAAGATAGGGGTTGTGTTTATAGTGAGCACTGGGGGCAAGGCTATCTGACAGAAGTAGTTGCGGCGGTGGTAAAGACATGAGACCTTCAGGCGCAGTTTCTATAAGATAGCACCGTATAATATATTATAGATCACTTTAATGAGGCCGTCATGGAAAGACCGCGGCCAAGTAAGTCTCGCTAATTTGAATACTTCCTTTATCCCGATTGCTCCGGACGCTATTACGATGGACATTCATTGCTTCTGAATTTGCGACGTTGCGCCTTGGCTTAGTCGATCACTCCTAAGACTTGACTTGATAGCGAGCTGGTAATAGGGATAAATCGCTAGTCCATTTATCCATAAAAGACCATTAATACTCCGTTCCAACTCTCCTTTTCATATATTCCTGCTGAAATGTTGATCTTTGATAACGAGGCACCGCGCTCGGATTCCTTTCATTTCTCTTTATATATCGACCGTGGCAAGTGGAGGGATCTTGCCCACAATCAATACAAATGATATGTGGGCTGGCTCTGGGGGCTCATAAGCGTCTTTTCGACGTTTGCCTTGTACGTTCGATCCTCCCCTTCCTGCATTATTCTATGTTTCCATGGCATCGACTCGGTATTGGTGAGAATACCTTGGTCTAATCGTACCAACACCGCAAGGTTCTCCAACGAGGAGCTCAGTCTCCGCTCGTATCCATTCCCCATCCGATTGAACATCGAGTATATGATATATCGCTGCGCACGGAAGCCCTCAGTACATGCACATCTACTTTGCCCTACACGGCGGGATAAATCTATCACTGAGAATCCAATGAACAAAAGTCTTCTCCCCCCCCTGCCTCGCCAGGGATGCTCTTGTTCCTCCTATACTACCCCGTAGTTCGATTGAATTCGTGCCGGGAAGTGCGCCAAACTACTGGTACTGAGGGAGTCATGAAATCCATCACACCTATTACTCAGACCTGCACCTGTTCACGACCAAATCTGTTACATAACAGATGGATACCCTAATCGCATACTCTGGGCGCCGACCCAGTGCAAGCCATAGGAAATGCCGTGTGGGTTGTGATCAACATAGCTGAAAGGGGCGATCCCGATATGATAGTCCAATCATCAATTCTAGAAAACTTCGCCCAGGCACACTACTGCGTTGCAGTCTAAGCGATCGGCTTACACTGCTGAGCTGTCTGACGGGCTCCACTAGTTCAAGTTCATAACCTAATGACCCTGCGCCTTGAAACGCGATGCTACGAAAGACAATCCACAACGTTGTGACGATCGGCACACTGCTCAGCAACACCGCCCTTCACCCCACCACCGTAACTCTACGAGTCGAGCTGAAAAAGATCCAATCCTATGGGAGAATCCCACTGTGCTGCGCAGATGCATAGGGAGTGGCGAGCTGAACATAGGACTATTGATCGCCGTCTATCCTGGGAGAACCAGCACAACAATATAGCGGTGCGCGGCGTCGATTCGGCAATTCACGGTTAAAAGCATATGAAAATGGATATATAAACGCCATCATCTCTCCTCCATGGTCAACTCAACCCTCCAGTTTCTCAAGCACATCTATCAGTCCATCTATCTCCTCTCACCCTCGAACGCACTTCATTTCTCTTCCCCTAGATCTTTTGTCAATATGCCCAACACTCTTGGTAACGGTGAATGGCTTGAAGTTGGCCAGAGCCTATGGAGTCAAAATGGTGAGACTGAGCTCAAAATGCAGGAGGATGGCAAGATTGCGGTTTACGTGAAAGGCGAATGTGTATTCCAGAACACAAACCAGGAGAGGTACGATGTCAAAGGTATCCATATGCAAAGCGATGGGAACCTTGTTATGTAGTAAGTTTACCTGCCCCCTCGTGTTCAACTTTCTTCCGCCTTTCTCAAGACATCGAGTTTGCTTATGAAGCTCTTCTTGGTTAACCTGTCTGCTACTGTCTAGCGATAATAACAACAATCCTCTCTGGAGCACCAATTCCACCGGGTCAGCGGACCCCAGCTCAGTCATCTGTGCAGTGCAGAATGATGGTAACGTCGTTCTGTACACTGGCCAGGCCCTCTGGGCCACCAACACCGGAAGGGTGCCTTGGCCTCAATAGACTGTCCAAATTGATGGTCAGAGTGCAAGGGTTTAGATGATATGGCAACAAGAAGACTTGGTTGGGAGGTCGTACCCACTCATTGCTTTGTGTATATAAGAATGCAAATGAACCCTTGAACTCCGTCGAGTCCCTTGGGATAGCATCGATCCTTAGCACAGGGCGTACGTCCAAGAAAGATCAGCAAACTGGCACAATCATGCTGACAGCACCACACATGTTATCGTGGCCACCTGCCCCCGCAGACATCCGGCATAATTTCGCGGTATTCCCATAGAAATGCCTTTCCGTCACTCGCTGGGGTGTGGATGGTCTCTAGGCTCCCCGGGACGCTCTCACCCTGCAAATTTGTGGGATATCAAGCTTAACTCATGGGACATCCGATAGCATCATAGACTGTCTCATCAACTTGTCATGGCATGGTTGTCTTGTCTTGACTATTCCATTCACTCCCTCTCGCTTTGCTCTTTTCACTCCAACCAACTCCGATCCCACTCATTAGACATCTTGCCCAATCTCCTCATACACCAAGTCAAAGAAACAAGACTAATTTTAAACGTCATGTCAACATTGTCGTCACGCTGTGATGCTTTAGCCCTCGAGAGTTTCGAGCCCCTAATGCAAAAACTAGTTGACCAGCATCGCCGCCAGTTCGCGAACGTCCTTGCGCTGTCAATTCCGCGGGAGGAGGACGACGACACCAATGCCTGTAAAGATCTTGGCAGTTTTCAGGCCATCCTCCGATTGTTTGACTACCCAAAGGCGGAAGAATACGTGATCCCGGTCGACGCAGATATACCTGGGTGGGACGTTGCTGATAAGATTCGGGGTCTTATCCGCCAGGCCATGACAATGACCGGGCGAACTATCATTTTGATTCACTATGGTGGCCATGGACTTAACCGGAATCAAGAATTGCACTTCTGCAATGCCACAGGAAGAAAGCATTTCGACGTGAACAGAAATATGTTGGATATAATGGACTCCAAGTCCGCCATTACCGACTCCGACAACATTGATATCGTATGTATCTTCGACTCCTGTTATAGCTATCTGGTGACCAGGGAGTATACTGGTCATAACGGAGTCGTCGAGATACTTGCGGCCGTTGATGAGGATAGCAGACTTGCATTTTCTCCGGGCCTTCGGGCCTCTTTTACAGGCAAACTATATGCAGAGAATCCTCAGAAGAACGCGGTTAGGAGCTAAGGATGTTGAGCTTGCTGAGCTCATAGCATATCTTCGCAAAGAATCTCCCGCGAAGAAGCCCGCGCATCACCTTCTCGTCGGAGTCAATTCTTTACGTCTTTCCATTTGTGGAAATACTGAACGGAGCCGAGTATACGATTTGTCCAACCCTGATAAATACTGAAGGGGACCCAATATGTCAACCCCCCCGGGGCCAGCGACACACGCTATGTTTTCATTCAGGTTGGCCAAAAAAAGTCTCTCCATTGATCAAATAGCAGCTTTCCGTGACTGGATCTAGAAGCTGCCCAGAGAGATTGGGCTATCTCTAGAAGCCGTCTACGAGACACAGCCCATGACTTTGCTCTTCCGGGCACCATGCGCCTTTTGGTTGAAGGTGGCCTCTAATCAGTACTAATCTCCTTGATTAATCCTACCGGGGAGGAAATAGCTCAAGAATCGACCAATCATAAACTGACAAAATACCTATATCAACCACGATAGCCAATAGACCCTTGACCATTGCCCACATGGCTTCCAATAATGGGCCAACCTACTCGCAGCCCAGGGCAGTAGCCAGGGAAGGGTTCCCGAGAAACCCCGTTATGTCCTGCAAAGACTCTGACCCATGAGATGACACGGACTGCATGAATCGTGCGAGACATGCACTGTATGCGAAGATATACTCTTGGCGGTAGAAGTAGGACAACACAACACAGTGCATGGGATATCCAATTTAACGAGGGTTACAGGATACAGATGTATGTACATACAGGTCTCGCGGAATGCATAAAGGTCTGAGTTATCACGCATGCAAACAAGGAAGGGAGATAGATGATGATAGGGCATATGCAAGCGGTCCCTGTTTTCGAAAGGCCAGTGATAAGCATGATATTCATTCAGTCTGCACGTTGCTCCACAGTAAACTCATACAACATCCCTTTACTATGGTGGCTCCCTTCCCCCTATCCAGCCACCGACGTAATTATTTACGATTTCATACATGTTACAGGTCATAACCGGCTCGCCAAGCATGTCATCCGAGCTTAACCTATCGGAAAGTATAAGCTTACTCCTATTGTGTATCGTAGGAGAGTCGATGATCAGGGATTGTCAGTAGTGGCGAGCTAGTGGTAGATTGTCCTAGTTCTTCAGTGAGCGGTTTCTGTTACAGGTTATGTGATGGTCGGATTGGGAAGGTTACCCTACCCACATTCCAGAGACACCTGGAAACTATTGGGATCTGCATGTTTTATTGGATCCACCAGGCATCCAAGAGTACCTATAGTCTATAGATAAGGCAATACTGTTTCATGCAGTTTGTTACAGCCTTGCCATGTAATGATGTTGGGATAGCATGTACTGTGGATGATTCTTGGGAGAAAGCCAGAAAATATAAATAAATCAAATCGCTTCAGACGCCCATATGTTGCATCGTTGTAGGAAAAGCAACCCATAACAGATAGAAAGTAAAATCAAGAACATCGCTAAACACAACCTTGGTCGAATCCCGAAATCAAACGTTCTATGTCATGTCACATCAAGATGAACGCCAATTATATGCAAGAAAAGCTCACAGTTACAACCAAAGGAGTTATGTCATCTTCGGCATGAATTTGGGGTTGGTCCGGATGCTTTCCCCATATTTCAGTAAGAAGAATGATGTCGGTGCAAAGGCAAGCGCAATAAAACCAAGGAGGGTGTTTCCCCAGCCTAGGCCAAGTGTTTCGTACAAGGGCGTACCGGCCAAAGGGATAGTGGCCCCAAAAACGCATCGCAAGGCCAGCTCAGCGGAGACAGCACTGGCAGCGTAGAGGGTATATGAATCAACAAGATACACCTGAGTAACGAGGTGTACATAGAAGATCCCTGTACCGATGAAGAAAGTTCCAATAATGGGGACAATCCAATGAAGCCTATACTGTGCGGACCAGCCGTACCAGAACAGGCCAATGGGGACTAGAAAACATCCAAGCACAAGAGGTGGAAGGCGATGCTCTGGTTTCATCTGGCCGTGGATCTTTTCCTGCTTTTTGATATGTCGATCAGAGTAGTAGCCAACTGTGATCTGTCCGACGCAAAAGCCCATGCCAAGGCCCAGATATCCAAGGCCTGCTTGACCTGGGCTGAAACCGTAGACATTCTCAAAGACATCGGTGAAGGTTGTGAAAAGAATGTACATATAGCTGTAAGTGACGGCGCTGTAAAGGGATACTATCAAGACAATAGGCGACAAAAAGAGGAATTTGATTGGTCGCGTCAGCGATGCCAAAAGCATCTGGCCAGCTGTACGTTCGGAGTCAAACTTGGTGTGATAGTGCTGCCCAGTAGCCTTCTGGAGACTCATTGCTTTGCGCCGTAGTATCGTTGGCGCATACGTCTCACGGAGAAATATCAGCGATGCAATAACAACGACGCCTCCCTACTACAGTGTTAATTTTGCTTTATCTGAGCGCGAGTACAAGAACATCAACTTACCAGTATTGCCTCAAGCCACACAGTCCATCGCCATCCCACATTCTCCACCATGTAGCCTCCGAAGATAGGACCGATTACAAAACCCTATAGTCAGGGTTAGCAACATCAGATAAAGGACAGATCAACGGTTAGTTATACGTACAAGCAAGGGTCCCACGGTCCATATGGTCATTGCAGTTCCCCGTTTTTCCATGGGAATCATGTCAGCAACAAACCCTCCTCCAACTGTTACCGGCACTGAGCTGGCAATTCCCATGATTAGTCGAGAAACAATAAGCATGGAGATATTGACGCTGGATCCGCAGACTATTGCTGCGATCATGAAGAGGGCATTCGCTCCGTGTGTCACTGGTAATCTTCCACTCATTTCTGTAATTGGTGTAAGTACGAGTGGCCCCACTGCTGCTCCCATCACGTAGATAGAGACCATGAGAGATGCAAGAGAAGAGTTGTCAATGTGGAACTCCTTCAGAACTTCCGGGACCCCGGGAGCGAAAATGGTGGAGACCAGAGACCTAATAGTTGTTAGCATACTACCCGCCATAGGACTTTAGAAGTTCAAAAGGAGCCAAACATACGTATTGAAACTGCTCACTGATATCAGGCCAATAATGAGCCATTTCCGAGCATCGGACCAGTTCATGGGATTCCGAGGGTCGTCGGGGCCATCCCAGTGGACAAGATTGTCAAGCTCATCTTGGGATTGTTCACCGGCCTCAATGTCGCGGCACTCAACCCTCACACGAGCGTTTTCCTTTTCGACAAAGGACCCCAGACACTCCAGGCTAGATTCAGGGCTGGGTTCGACCGAGCTGTCAGGATCACCGGAAGACTGCGTCGACATGACGATCACGAAGGGAATGGGAATTGTAAGATCCTTGGGGATGAAATGAATTGAATAGACATTAACAAGCGGGCCATCATGGTCTTCTAAATATCTAAAGCGGATACAAGCAAATGTAATATTGGAGTCACTTCGTCGGAGATGACCACCATGATGTTACCCTGATTTTGGAGTGAACGCGCGTCCATACAGTCGGACAATTCTTGGTATGCTGGACCCTTGCTGTCTAGCCGGCCGGGACTCCAATGCTCTGTACAGCTTGAAACGCCTGGACCATGATACATGGTGGGTACATACAATTAAAAATATCAGGCGCACAGCACGGGTAGGGAACAAGCAAAAAGGGTGGCGTTTCCACAGGAATCCCTTACATGGATTGGCTCTATTCGAGCTCTGCCTCAGACAATGCCAATTAGCTGGGCTTGTCAACACATGATCTACATAGGTTATGCTTAGGACACCTAATGATCCCCACATGATGTATTGCGGCGTCTGGGTGCTCAGGCACCCCTTTCGAGATATCCCACAGTTTCTTAGCTGCCCAGGCATGCGGTTCTATAGTGTTACCCACTTGGGACTTGCACATGATGAATGTTGACGTGTCTTGAGTGGAGGATGAAGGGTCGAAACCAGCCATGGGAGGAGTATGGTGTAACTGGAATATCATAATAGAGGGAGAATGAGCCCTATTTGGAATTGGAATCCGTGCCCAGGGAACTCACCCGATGGATCAGTCCGTAGATCAGAATTTTTTTTTCGGGACCCCTTGAGGTGTTCATGGTAGGAGTCACCGCTATAGAGTTGGGGGGTGACCCATCAGGTGGAGATAGGAGACCGGGCTAGACGGGTCTGTCTGCTATGTGTTCTATGTAAGAAGCGACACAGAATTGATTCTAAATTCGAATCATGCGGGAAATTCACAACAATTTCCATGTAAAGGACCCATGGCGTGATGGGGCATGGTTGCTATGATGTGATATTGAGACGAAGACAACATGAAGTATGCAGATCCGTGTTCCAAGAAATGCCTGAGGACCTCGACTAAAGCGGCAACGATCCGCCGCCGGTACCTTCCTTCCCGCGGGAGATCCTCAGGCTCCCCTCTGTCGATGCCCTACCCGTTGTCAATCCCAGCCGCATCGTTCCTTTCTTTCTCTTCTTTCATTCTTCTTCATCCTTTCATTGACGGAATCGTCGGCTTTCCTCCGACAAGCATTGCGCCGTCAAATCATACTACCTATCAAATTGCCCATCCTAGATTCTAGATTTGACACATGAAGAGGATCTTCAGAGCTATTACTAACTCTTGAGCCAATAAATGAGTTGGATCTGCAGGAGACGCTACCTCAAAATCAAGGCCATCCGAGAAGCTTAACCAACCGTTAAGCTTTGGTGGATAACCGAATCTTCGAGCCCGCTTGGCCGTTCCTTGGGACTCCGTGTGAGCTCTGAAAAGTTGCCCTTCGAAGTCTGGTTCCCGGAGATGTACCCACCTACAATGGAAACCCGCCACAGCCGATCTATCGGGCCTAGGGAGCTTGTCCCTCGGGCTACAATTAGAAACAAACCTCCACATGTTGAAACTGACCGCTGAGTACGGCCAACGCGCGTTCGGGATTGCGCACATGTTGCGAGTTTTCGGTAAACTGGAAGAATGTCCGAACAATCTCGACAGCTCATCGGGAAATTTTTACCCAGAACAGAGAACAGCCCATAAAGTACACCAGAGTGTTCGTGGGCTTTCGCCTATTCTCGTTTGTTGGCTCATCTTAGCACTCCACTTACCTAGCCGACTGACTCCTAATCTAGGTGTCAGAGAACTCATCTTCATAACATCTATGAACTTTTCTCCTGGCATTCCCGATGCCGGCACAGAATTTTCCTCCGCATGCGCTGGCGCGCATAGGAGCAGCCACAACTAAGGAACCCGAGCGCGCTTCAAATAGCACTTAAGAGCAGCTGATATATACAGCTCACATGATCTAGATAGACTTTACTGAGCTTCTATTGATTTCAGCACTGGGCTTTGGCTTCCTGGCGATGGTCAAACAAAATTCCCTGACCCCATGATCAGCGCAGCGGTGTACTGTTTCTCTACCTCTCAGTGAGTTCAGCGGGCATCGATGAAGCCATTCACAACGCTGCCGTTGTGACATTAAAATTCATTTAATGCACTAGCTTAGTTTTTCAAAGTGCGGGATAGCTGAATATCATACCACTGCTCCTCGGGCAGCATTGGCATACTTTTGATGCAGGCTACCTTATTCTTACTACACTTCACGGGTGCCTGAATGCTAAGCGTATGGGATTAAGTTAATAGTTGGGTTTCTCTTGTTCCCGCCAAAGCCGCTGACTCCAAAATTCTCCTCTAGTCGGATTTCCTCAGCAGTGGTCTTTTCATAGAACCATTTATGTTTCTTGTCTTGATGTTGAACAAGAGATCGGCGCTTTCTTCCACAATCCGTCAGTGTTCTTTTCGTATCCTATCGATAATTGCTCTTTATCAGTGCCCTCCATTTTTCCCCTCCTGCATAATATTCTCTGATCTGCTCGCAAACTTCCCAGATCCTTCTTCGGTTGACAAGCCCAGGAATATAGTTCCATGTCCCTTCCTTATAGTGAGACTTTTGAAAAAGATCCAGGAGTGTCAGGGAGAGTCGAGACACCGACTCCCCAGAGTAAAACGTGTCAGTATCCTGGAGCTCCCAGAGCCAAGGCATATCAGCTCGCAGTACTTTCATCAAAAGGTCGCTTGGAAGAACGGTGGCATTCATCGATGGCGATGCAGCTTTAACGGCAAGTACAGACGCAACGGGAAGGCGCTTAAATATCTCTAGTCGGATCTCGGCCGGTACCTTGTCGAATATATCCCGTCTCATGTGGTTTTCTGAGGAACCGGGCAAGAGGTCATTCGTTTCACCCCGAATGAAATCGAGATAAGAGTCTAGTTGAGGTATTTCGACAGGATTCATGATTAATACCTACCGTTGTACTCTAACATGAGAAAGAGTCGTTCCAGGGAGGACGCGCAAAGCTGGATTGGAAGCAACATATGGAACATACCTCTTCGCCTCGTATACATCTCCACGGCCCATTCAAGATCAGACTGGGCTTGCCATAGTCTAGTCTTAACCTGGTGTATGGCTCACACTCCAACTCCTCAAGAACGTCACATAAACTGGCTCGGTCGAAGGTTGTATTACTGTTTTGAGTAATGCACCTCCTGAGTATCTCCTGGTAACAGACGCGATGGACAGGCCAAGCAACCGGTTCGTGGCAAAACCCGTGATCGTAGTACCTACGAACAGTTAGCACGGAAAACGAAAGGTGTCAGAGACATACACGGTGAGTGTTGGCTCGGGAATGGGGTGTATATCATCTATTCATAATCAGACCTGTCGATCACCCAAACATACGACCAGAGACACCAACTATCCTCTCCCGGAGAAGTACGTAGCCAGTTCTAAGTATCATCATTAGTCCGATCAACACACGATAATGTAAAGAAACATCTCACAGAACCAATGGCATGACAGACGCCCGAGAAGAAGTAGCTATAGCCATCCGTCAGACCAAGCAAAACGAAAGCATACACGGAGGGCATAAAATAAGATAAAACCTTCCCGGACGACGAGCATAGTCAATACCCACAGCATGAAGCTGTGTCAACCAGTCCAGATCGCTATCTTTGAGGACTTCCACATCATAGGCATCTGGGTCCTGGCCCTCGGGGTCAATTTTCATGTCGGCCGTTGAAAAAGGCGAGCCACAAAGGGCGCAGTAGAACTCCTTCATTTCAGTATTGGGAATCTGATTTGAGGGGAGACACTTATACCAGATCCCTGGGGTTTCATAAAGAATTTGGAAGGTGGTTGGCGCTTTTCTTTATTCAGATCTAGTGGGTGGGGCTGCTTGTCAACGAGTGATAGCTATATGTCGGCGGGCAAGACTATAGAGACATAGAGGCTCCTAACTAACATAATAACCTACATTTTCTCTCCATTCAGTCACTTGCTCGATTATAGGATTCGCCGTATCTCAATCTATGTCTATATTGAATTTTGTCTCGCCTGTAACCTTCTCGGATATCAAGTCCTTTAATAATAAAGATGCAGCAACGCATGCGCTTTGATGATGTTGCTTGGGCGCAAAGTGAAACTATCTCAGATGCCTGGGTGGAAGAGCTTTTCGAAGAAGATACTCTGAGAGTGATTGGCAATTTTATTATCGAGCATCGAAAGGGAGTCCCACTTGAATTATGTCAACCTCTAGCAGGGGCATTCAATGTATCCTTTCGGATGAAATTTGAGGATGGTGGCTCAGCACTGATTCGATTCCCCAAACCTGGAGCCACCATGTTCCCTGAGGAAAAGGTGAGAAGAGAAGTGACAGTAATCAGGTATCTTCAGGAGCATACTTCGATCTCCGTACCATTCATCCTACACTGGGGAACAAAGAAGGATAGTCCCCTCAATCTAAGCTCGTTTATCCTGATGGAATACATTGAACACGCCAACACTCAATCTTGAAGATCGCCCCATTCTCGATCCGTCTTTCGGAATTGACAAACTGGAAATGCTCTACGGACAGCTGGCAGACATTTTACTTCAGCTATCACAGCTATCACTGCCTCGGATCGGCTCTCTTGCTCAGGTTGATGACTTCACATGGGAAGTCAGAGACCGGCCTCTGTCGATCGGTATGAATGAACTCGTGCGTCTAGGAACGCTGCCACGATCGACATTGCCAGCCACCACAATTGAGACAACATCCTCCTATTTCAGTGCCCTCGCCGGATTATATCTTGAACATTTGTCCCATCAATGAAATAATGCAGTTGACTCCACAAAGGATTGTCGGCGTAAGCTTATCGCCAGACAGCTTTTCTCCAGGCTTGCCAGAGAGGGCAGACGTACCCATTCTACAAATGACCATAGACCCTTCAAGATATAGTATGCTGATCTTCGGCCCTCGAATGTATTGATCAACAAAAGCCTTCAGGTCGTTGGTGTCATTGACTGGGAGTTCACATACGCAGCACCGGTTGAGTTTTCTCACGCACCTCCATGGTGGTTGCTTCTTGAACAGCCCGAGTACTGGCCAGATGGGATAGAGGCTTGGACAAAGGCATTTGAAACTCGTCTAGACACATTCCTTGAAGTTCTTACCGAACGTGAGGAAACAGCTCTGCAACAGGGCAGGTTAAGAGGGGAACAGAGACTCTCTGGTCCCATGAAACAGAGCTGGGTAAATGGCGACTTTTGGGTCACAAACGCAGCGAGGAAAAATTTCGCATTCGATACGACCTTCTGAAAGAAACTTGACCATTGATGCTTTGGTCCTTGCACATTAGCCGAGGAAAATCAATGGAAGAAAAGGATTGAATTGTTGAGGGACGAAAAGCGTCAGTATGTAGAACAAGTTGTGAGCCAAAAGCTTGAGCAGATAAAAACGAGGGTTCTAGCATGGGACCCAGAGGAAGTGGATACGGCCGAAGTCCGCCATTCCGTTGTCTAATCAGATCTCAATTCAAATATTGCAAAGTATTCGCAGGTTCGCATCTTTCTCGTCAGGCTTCTTACACAATGACCGCAGAACAGAACCCCAAGCATAGGCCACTACATGCCTTGGCGAGGCCGCAAGCTGGTTGAGATGTAATAGACTACTGTAAATAGGTGAATATAGAGCTTGTGCGGAAAGATTGAGTACAGCTGTTGCTTTCACTAATTGGATAGTAGTCATTGTATGACTCTGCAGAGGTCTGTTGTTTGTCTTATGGGTTTGGTGGGCTAAACCTGGCCAGTATGGCCTCTGTATGTATATGCCTTCTTTCCCTTAGTTTTAAGTATGGAGTTATTGCTGCACTGTTAGCTATTGTATGATTAATGGATCCGGAATCTGTCCATCTTTACTACTATGACTCTTCTCTAGAGTATCTACAAGGTATTATACAGTATACCTTAGATCCTAAACCTGATTTTCTAATAAACTGAGGATCATAAATCAATTATTTCTATAAACATACAATCTATTAATTATCATACTCCAAGCCAGACTCCTTTCGAATCGCCCCATAAACACCTGCAACATCACCCTTCACGCCCTTCTCCTTCTTCACCTCCTGCAAATACGCATCAGTAACCTCCACACTCCTCAATCTCACACCCGCTTCCTGCGCAATGCTAGTCGCATGACCCAGATCCTTTCTAGCCAAGTCGACCGCAAACAACGGCTCATCACGCTTGTGGTAATCGCCTTCGACCATCCGATCCGCGTACTTGGCGAACGGTCCACCTAGCCACGTGTGGATCCATTTCTGGTACATGTCGGCACCGAGACCGGATTTCTCCGCCAGCACGAGACCCTCAGCGACGGTCTCCACGGTGTTGAGGATGAAAGTGTTGCCTAGGATCTTGAGCTGGGAGGCACGGCCGACATCGTCGCCGGGCAAGGGAAGGGTGGCCTTTGCCGTGACGCCCTCGAAGAACGGCTGAAGTCTGTCGATTGCTTCTTGCTTTCCAGCGGGGACGACGATCATCTGGCCTGCGTCGGCCATGTTGGGGGCGCCGAAGACGGGGCAGGCGATAAAGGTGGCGCCGCGCTCGAGGAGGGTGGCGTGGATGCGGCGGGAGGTGTTGGGGTGGACGGTGGAGCAGTCGACAATGAGCTTAGAGGTGAGATCCAAGGAGGAGTCGGAGACGATGGTGTTAATGATTTGGTCGAGGGCTTGGTCATCGCCGACGCAGATGAAGGCGATTGTAGCCTGTTGCACGGCCTCGGGGATGGTGGTTGCGACGGTGGCTTTGTTGGAGCCAATTGACTCGGCGAAAGCGGTGGCCCTGGATGTTGTGCGGTTGTAGAGGATTATGGGTGCGGTCTGGGGACCTTTCAGGGCGATATTGCGGCTCATACCCTGTGGGATGTTAGTTTCTCTTGAAGAAATATTGATATTGATTGATCTGTATATATATATATATATACACGGGGAGGTATCTACTTACCCGGCCGATGTTGCCCAGGCCGAGCCATGCTACTCTTTCTGAAGCCATTGTGTCAATGTGTGATCTGTTCTTCCTGATTGAATTGAAGAGGAGGGTTATAGAGCATTCATGGAAGGGCCGCGGGCAGGTAATTTATAGAGTGAGGGGATCTACGAGGGGACTGCGTCATGCGGGGCATTTCGGGGGCTCGGCGTCACGTTTCCTTCCTAAAAGCTTAGCCGGCGTGGGGACTCGGAGCTGATCTTACATTCGGAGTCTGGAACTCTTGAAGCCTTTCCTGTCGCAATGGAGTTGACTGGTTGCAGAAGTGCGATATGCCCGTTGTCGGGGGCGCAATGGAAGAAGACACTCTGAATAGATTACCAATCCTCAGCCGTCGACGAACGGACCAATTCCGCTGTCCAATTGACGTCGATCAAATAAATACAAGTCCACCGAGAGAGACAACAAGAATGAGTCAATCCTTACACGCTTGCGCTCTTTCTTTCACCGGCACATTTTCGTGTTGCACGGCTCTCTAAGCAAGGAAATAATCTTCTCACAGGCGATGACTCGTCCATCTTTTGGCCCCAATTTAGCTGCAATAGTTTTCGCCCGGTGTCGCATCGGCTCGCTCTGGGCGCTTACTAGCACCCGAATCAGCGCCTGCCCCAATTCCGGTCCATTGACGCCTGGCGCAGTCTTGCGACTGGCCCAAATCCCAATGCCTAGCCATTCTGCGCGCAAGGCGAAATCGTAGGTGTCGAGCCAGACGGGGATGATGACTTGTGGCACGCCAGCCCTAAATCAAACATGCTGTCAGAAACTGGAAATACCCGCATCCAGGAGTTTACAGCTCTGGATATACTGACCGTATCGCTTCGTGATACGAATTGGACCCCCCATGGTGAACCATGCATTCTACATGGTCACTCGTGAGAATGCAAATAGGCTCTACTGCCAGCCACGGCTCAACCCGAACTTGTCCCTCTGCGACGGCCGTACGCAGATCGTCGGGCAGAGTGATGTCCTCGAGAACTGTACCAGGGCTTGGCTTGATTTTCCATAGGATTTGGACACCCGGCCTTCTATCCAGGAGCATGCGGAATCCCACCATGAGCTCTTTCAGAACATCGATTGTATACGTCACATGTGATCCCAGGTTCACCAGCACTGTTGGTCGTCGTCCGAGCCAAGAAGCCAGTTCTGGATCCTCTTCGGCAATCGGAGCACAAGGGCGCAGTATGGGACCGCACAGTGTGAAGCTGTCGGGAAAGTAGCAAGGAATTTCGGTCTCTTGTCTGGCCGGCAGGAGAACTACAGTCTTGTCCTTGTTCAGCTGTTGCGGGATGTGCGCAGAGGTTATACTGGACAACCCATGAGCATCGCGATATTCCGCGAGCTCTCGGGCTCTTGGATTGCCCAAAAGGGTCAATATCAGCCGAAGGGCAAGATAAGCGTTTGGAAGAATCAGGTACCATGGTAAAGGGTAAGGGAAACCGGAACACATGCTGAATGATCAGTCAAGAGACAAAGAGCAAGGGGCCGCGTACAGATAGACTATATCTCTCACATTGGATGCTTCCACAGGCTCGCCAACCTCGGCTGTATCGTCAGTTCCTTGAAGGTGTTAGGAGACAGGGCCACATAACGCTGTTCTAGCATGCGACACGCATCAACTGCCTGCAAGAAGAGTGGATCAAGCACAACAATGGCTGGCTGGAGCGTGCGGATGAGGGTACAGCAGTCCTGATATATTGCCATATACTGCGGGCCATCCCACGGGGTTGCCACTGCAGGCAGGGTGTGCTTGTATGTGTCCAGGGCTGCTCGGAACCCGACATTATGAACGTGAAATGAATCGGTACGTATATCGAACCAAGTATTGGCCTCTACCATAGGAGGACCAGTGATTGGATGGAAAGTCGTACGATTTCTTACTGATGACAGGTATGCGGCACGGACATTGAGCTTGGAGACAGCGGGCTCCAAAGGAGCGAACGAACCGATATGGACATCGTAAGAGCGAATGAGAAATTCATGGGCCACGGCTAAACTGACGGTTGCCTGGCCCAGCTCACTGAATGTCAGAAAGAGAATGACTGATGGTGCCATCACGCAAGTATGTGATGGAGTAAGGAAGATCAGTAATGAAGGATTAGGCAAAAGATGAATAGAAGTGAAGTGTCCAAAGTCGGTATGGGGCTAGCAGTGAGAGGCATTGAGGGAACAATACGAAAAGAAACCTATTTGTTAGCCATGATTTCCTTCTACGAATACAATGCTAGAATCTCTTTTCGAGCAGATTCTTAGGAGTATAAGAACCGACATGAAATGCAGAATATGTATGAATAGTCAGCAGACCTTCTTTTGTGTAATCATTCCAGTTCAATTTTAAGTGCAATCCGCCATGGTCCAGTGAGTATTGCTCTGAATCATATGAATTTATTAATATTAGAGGTATTTCTATTAGGAAAATGAACATGGATGTGTGGTGCTGGTGGAGAATTAGGCCAAGGTATGTGCATACATGCCCCCATCCGCTATTCTCCATCTATTGTATGTAGATATAGTATGACTTTGGATACGACGGGACTGCCCCCTCCTCTTCACCGCTCGTAATCAGCAACTGTGCATACGTTCCACAAGGAGGATGTAGTTTCACTTCCTGCATGATGACTTCACCCCCGGAACGGAAGCGGCACTATCCGTCTGTGTCGAGTAACCAAGCGCTTGTTTTGGGTGTATATCACTCGCCGTTTCATAAGCCACTGACGCTTAAGCTTGGCAACCAATATCTTCCATGGATTAACCAAGGAAGTACATCGTCAGCGATTGCTGGTGTGGCACCTGCTATAATCAGGCGATCGACCAGGCCAATCATGAGGCATCAGGAGCCTCCGAGGAAAGAACTAACGAATGCAGCTGTCCCCATCTAGTCCTTTCATCCGCGACCACTAATGGCCGAATTGCGGGTATTGACACGGTCAATGTCGTAGGGGTTTTCCTCGTACTGTGTCGCAGTGCGGCCCAAAGAGTGTCCGGACTTCTTAGATGCCCGAGAACCTCGTCGATCAAGTGCAACCTGGGATGGAATAGTGGAGAGGCTATCGGAGTCATCGCTGTCACTGCTCATATAGACAGACTCGGCTTTCTCAGCCACAGTCACTTTCTCTTGAGTTGGCTCTTGACGCGGGGGCTCATTCTGCTTGGCTGCGAGGCGCTGCATGAATGCCTCGGCCTCGGCAGCGTAAACACAGCGCTTACGAATCCGGGCCCCGTAAATATAGAACAAAATGGGGAATGGCACACACGCGACGGCCAAGAAAGCGGGAATGGAAGAGGCCCAGTGAATGCCTAGGTTGCGATACATGTAGGTGGTGAATAGCGGAAAGGCGAAGCCGAATAGAGACCGAAGAGCCGAGTTAGCTGCAAGGACCGATGCTGAATAGATCGTGTAGGCATCGATCAGATAGTTGAAGACACTGAGGAAGACCAAGACTAGTCCAAACCCAAACGGTACGCCCGCAGCCACCGGGGCCATCCAGTGGATGGTTGGATAGTTAGTCCACGCGAACCAGAAAAGACCGATGGGCAGGGCGATTCCTCCAACAATACTTGGAGGAAGACGGACCTCGGGTGCAAGACGACCCGTGGTTTGCTCACACAGCTTAGCATAACGGAAATTGTCTGGAACGGTGCAAGCGACTGCGATGATCATCCCGACCAGAATGCCCATGAAAGCCAAGCCTCCAATACCCTCACTCCAGCCACGGACTTCCTGGAACACAATCGGATAGGCCGCAAATAACATGTACAACGTTCCATATATGATAGCCATATAGATACAGAACAGAAGCACAATCGGCTCCTTAAAGAGTAGAAGCCATGGGCGGGAGAGGGCCGTAGTCAATGTTTTGGTCAACGTCGCTCTACCCCGTTCGATATCCAGTTTACTGCGGTAGACCTGGCCACTTAGTTCAGAAAGTTTCTCAGCTCGGCGACGCAGCAGGACGGGAGCATATGTCTCTGGCAACAATATGCACATGGACAGCCATACAACACCTGCTAACGCCGCTAGAAAGCCTTCCACCCAGCGCCAGCCCGCGGCAGAGCCAAGAAATCCTCCAATCACTGGGCCAAACGTAGGACCGCAGAGCGGTGCTGCAGCGAAGAGACTGATCGCAATGCCACGCTTTGAAGCCGGAAACATATCTGCAATTGTACCGCCTGCATTTCCGAAAGGTGATGATCCGAAAAATCCTGCGAGAAAACGTAGGATAATAAGGGTTTGAATGTTCTGAGCTCCAGCAGCTCCCGCATTGAAAGCAGTGAGGAGAAAGAATGTGCTAGTGAAAATATGTCGACGACCAAATGTCTCACTCATTGGTGCCCAGATCAACGGTCCAAAGGCAAATCCCAAGACAAAGAGGGAGATCCCGAGGATAGCAACTTCCTGCTCACAGCCAAAATCCTTGACAATCTGGCCCATGCCGCCTGAGTATGCAGAGGAAACCAATGCAACCGCGAGGGTGACAAAGGAGACTAAGATAGTATAGGACCATTTCTGGACCTCACTGAAGTCCATCGGGTTGCGCGGGTCGTTGGGGATCCAACTGACAACGTAAGGGTCATCTTCGGTTCCTGATCCGGTATAACGATAATTAACCACTTCAGGTGTAACAACCTTTTGGTCGAGGACTAAACGCCAGTAGGGTATCTTGGAGGGTAGAGACACCTCGCCACCCCCGGCTAAACCAGTCATGCCGGTTGTGGTACTAGATATCCTGATCAGTTATGAATACTTAATGCCCACTCCAGCCTCAATTTGTCCCTTTGAAGACATGCATATGCCATGGGATCGACAGAGTGATGGACCCACCTGATGTTTATCTTATAGAGGAACGTTTGCGAACCAGTATCGCGCTATCAGCAGTGTTATGCTTCGTGTGCTCCTAAAAAGTGAATGGAGAAGTGTAGATCATAAGAATCCAATGTCATGGGGCACTGGAGACAATTAAAAAAAAAAAATAAAATTTGAAACGTAATCAGAAAAAAAAAATATTTGAATCTCCTAGGATAGCAACCGAGAGATGCCTCGGTTATATGTACAGAAAGATCGAAGAAAATCTGCGTTGCATAAAACCACGTACTAATTCAACAACGTGTCAGTGCATTTGGTTAACGCCACTAGATATCCACTTTTCATTAGATATCCTTTCGAGTGTTACATATGCAGATCCCTAAAACCTTGAATAGGATGGCATATATACCCGTTCAAACATGTCTTCAACCCTTCAAACTTCGAGGGTAGAACCAACAAATAACAAGAACCGCCACAGCCAAACAAGACTTCGCCGCGACGGTTCCTGGCACTACTGGCGACAAGCTTGCTTGGCCAAGTGGAGCACCGTCTGGATATGTGACAAACGACAGCATATATCGACCTATGAAGTATATACTTCAAATACATAATACTATGCATTGAGACGCGTAGTATCGATTTTCGCATATCTTGAGCCCTACCCTGACCACCCCCACGTTTTATCACTTACAAAACCACTGCGGAGAGTAGGTCGACAACGATGAATGGACGAGTCGGCAAAAGTCGGCATTCCGTGCCGACAAAGCGGATCCACGCAGTGGAGAAAATAAGCGAGACCACATCAGCGCCTCCGGAAGAAGATGCCGAACTACTACCACCAGGCAACAGTGCCGATATTGCATGTTTAACGTAGCATTTGATGTATTGCTTCGGGTGACTGCGTGTCATTGCCTCGGCGTTGTTAATTTCTTGTCGCATAGGTGTTTTGATTTATTCTCTCGGAAGCTATCATTCCTGAGCGTCATCGCAACTGGTTGTCAGGCAACTGTTTATTTAGTGATCACCTTAGTATGCACTTAGGTGTATTAATGCTTAGGAGAGAATGTGCACTGCATAGATCGTTCTTGAGAATTGGCAAAGGTATTGGGTCAATAGCTCAGAAAACTTGGTGAGTTGTTCGAGGTACTTGCGAGAGGGGCTGCAATATTGTCCAAACGTGTATGCACATACATTGGTTGAGTAGTACACACGCGGGGTAGAAAACATCAAGGTAGGCCAGAAGTTTAAGAGATATGATAAAGAAAACCTTTAAACAAGACTTACTCAAAAGACGGATAATTGTATACTGTAAAGCATTGAAGCTGTAATGTGATATATATAGTCCATAGAACGTTAGTACAACAATGTGATAAACGGCCTAGAATGGTGTACAATCTATCCGCGGCTCCGTGTGAAGTTCACAACTTTGGGGAAACTGTGCTTCAATGACTTCTCCAGTGTCATAAAGAGACGAGTAGTTCGGACATGTAATTCTAGAATTAGAAAGGATTAAAATGAAGGATACATTGGAGGTCTTGATGCACAGATGGACGTACCTTCTATAGTCAATTCATAGCTAGCAGATTGCTCCTCCTCACGATAAGAAAGAACTGGTCCACCCCAAGCCCAGTTCCCAGATTCGTCCATTGGATTCTTCTCCTTAACCCGCACCTTAAGACCAACGTTCTTGTTTTGACCCACCCAAACCATCTGATAGGGAACCTCACTGGTCGACGAATAGGCAGTATTATCGGATTCTTCCGACCCTGGAGAGGACCCAAAAGATTGACCGGAATGCTTCGCATGGTTCCTTAGCCAGTCTCTGAACAACCTGATAACACCGTTTTCAACAGTCACTGCACCCAGAGGAAAATTACTCCCCCACATCACTTCCACTACATTCACGGCTACACATAATTGGATGAAATTTTCAAACGCTTCCAGATGAATAGGAAGTGTCACGACTGAACCGTCCGCTTGCTCCTGGTTGACTGTCGACACAATCAGCATTGACCTACACAACCCGTTTCCCTGCAGATACCCTACCCGCTGATGGAAACCGCCTTCCTCCGCCCATTCTCCCCATTCCTACCACACAAGGCCGAAATCTAGAATAAAGGGAACCGAGTCTTCCTAGCTGCTGTGGTGTATCAACATTCTCGTATAATGAGCCCTCTCCTTCGTACTGGTTAGTCAAACCATCCGTACCGAGGTATTTGCAAAAGACGTGGGGTTCGGTAGAATACGAGCTCGGATTTAAACAGTCGAGCATAAGGTTGTATTCGTTCAGTGATACAGATACAAGAATTCGGTAGTGCAGGATCCGCAATATTAAAGCATAGAACCGGCGGGAAACCGTCGTCAAGGGGAGAAGGGAGGGAGTTGGCAATGGGGATAAGATCTGAACGAACACCTGAACGTCATTTTATAAGGTTTAGCTCAGAGGTAAATTGATGCCAGCCCAATCTCATACCTCATTTGGAAGGGAATAGAGGTGGAGCCAGGACCGATGAGTGGCCATGCTTTGCAATGAAATGTGGGCTGCTATGCATTTGCTGGTATCTGTTCTATTAGAGAGGTAGGACAACCAATCATGAATGATATAATTAGATGAATAACCTTGAAGCGCTAATGTAAACGGTCAATGTGAGGTAGAAGTGAGTACCCTTGGAAGCTTCCCCAGATATTGCTGATAAGCCATGTCGATAAGAGTCCACCAGTTGCCCCTCGTTTCGTGGGACCAGCCAATCGGGTCCTGACGTCAGCCTAGATGCGATGCTGGGACTTTATTACTAAAATCCTATCAATCCTTAGTCGGCCCGGTTCATTTCACACAGGACACTCGGGCAGCCGGTGTGAAGCTCGGCTAGCCAAGACAAAACGGCTAATATCAACACCGTTTGCTACGGAAAACGGACGGGAAAAGTGCGCTAGGAAAGAGCACCCTACCCACTCGGCGTCGTTCCGCCACCAATCTGATCCAATGCGGATAATTGATGGGTGTACTAAAGCAAATATCCCGTAGTTTGACGTTGTTCCTGCATAGATGGAAGACAGCCACGCGCATTGAACGATCTGCCCCTGTGAGGCAAATCGACGGTAGTGGAAAAAAATGTAGTCAATTCAATGCGTTACAGATAGCGCTGCAAACTGTGCTGTAAATAAGGCTGAGGCCATTCTCAGGAACGTGACTGTTATTTACCCGAACAGACGTCATGCCGAAGTTTTATATTCATTCCCCCGTGGTGGTCTCGGTGTGTTCGGTACCGAAAGGGTCTCTGTTAATTTTCCGGAGACCCCGCGAAAGAGGCCATGTGCCCCGCCGCCGTCGCTTCATCTTCTCTGACCTTCTCTCCTGTCTCCTTCCCCTCTTTTATTTTTTTTTCTTCTTGTAGTTTGTCTCTCCTCCGTCGCACAGCATACGCGTGCTATTCGCAATCAACCATGGTCGAAAACGTCCTTGATGATATCTCCCACCGGAGGTATAACCCACTCCGCGGTTCTTCCATCTTAGTGTCCCCCCACAGAACTAAGCGTCCTTGGCAGTAAGTCTTGAGAGAAATTTTCCCTTGATTTCTGAGTGTAATGGCTGCGCTTGACCAAACGAGGAATGAACAAACCTGAAGTTCTAGAGAGCTAAACTTCCGCTGTAAACAGAGGAGCACAAGAAAGTCCTTCCAAGACAACTCTGCCCACCTATGACCCTGCTTGCTATCTGTGCCCAGGCAACAAGCGTGCGCAAGGAGATGCGAACCCCAAGTACGAAAAGACTTTCGTTTTCGTCAACGATTACAGCGCTGTCAAGGAGGAGCAAGCGCCATATAGTCCGGATAATGCAGACGGTGCGTTCTCATATAAGCTCGAGCAGAAAGTGTAGGTCCTTGTCACAGCGCTAACGTGTACACGATCTATTTTAGATCTGGAATCTTTCTTCCTGAAGGCAGAGCCTGTCACTGGCAAATGCTACGTGCTCACCTTCTCAGCGGCCCACAACCTCACCTTGGCAGATCTGTCTCCAGCCGAGATTGCTCCCGTCATCGACGCTTGGACTGAGATCTACAGTGCACATCTGTCACCTAAGTCACCGTTGGCTGCTCTTGCCCCGGCGACCACTCTACCTCCCAACTCCCCCACCGCTGATCTGGCCAAGCCCAAGGAACAATATCGGTATATGCAAATTTTCGAGAACAAGGGCGCGGCTATGGGGTGCTCGAACCCTCACCCCCATGGACAAGTCTGGACCACCAGCTCGCTACCCGAAGAGCCAGCGATGGAGCTGGAACAACTTAAGAAATACCGCAAGGAGCACGGAGGCAAGCACATGTTAGAAGATTATGCGGCTCTCGAAAGCCAGAAGAAGGAGCGTGTGGTGTTCGAGAACGGAGCATTCCTGGTTGTCTGCCCCTGGTGGGGAGTTTGGCCATTCGAGACAATGATTGTTAGCAAACAACACAAGCGTGCGCTCGTTGACCTAAATGCCAACGAGAAGGCACAGTTGGCCGAGGCCATCGCAGAGGTCACCAGACGTTACGATAATTTGTTCGAGACGCACTTCCCATACAGCATGGGTATCCATCAGGCACCACTCGATGGGACTGAAGAGGAGATTGAGTCTTCGTATCTGCACTTGCACTTCTACCCTCCTTTGTTGCGCAGCGCAACTGTGCGGAAGTTTTTGGTTGGGTAAGTTATAGATCCTACGTACTCTCTCTCATCAAGTGGCTGATTGATTTCTAGTTATGAAATGATGGGCGAGCCTCAGCGAGACATCACCCCCGAGCAAGCGGCGGCAAGATTAAGGAACTGTGGAGGAGAGCTGTATAGGAAGAAGTTGGACGGGTAGGATATCACGAACAGAGTAGGGTAGAATGATCCCATATCCTGAATGAGTCACGGTGTACAGAAACAACTTTTGTTAGTCATGGGTATCTAGTATTTATATTTTTTTTTATTTCCGCCTTGTAACACCAGGTCTGCTTTGCATATAAGCTTCATGCGATCGACCAGGATCTCGAGTAGAGAGAAAGAGAGACGGCAGAGATACACCGAGGAATAGGTTAATGTCTTGCATGTAAAGAATTAAGCAAAAAGATAGTGTTCCCTCTGTGTCACCATCCAAGCCAGAGTCGACGACGCAACGATAAGAGGGCTCACGAAACGTCCCTTAAGTTGGGCACTACCGAAACCCAGCCACTCGCCAACAAAGTGCACCAAGGCGATTCCAAAAGTCCAGATAGCGAGGTCATATGCCACAGGGGTCGTGATGTTGTAAGCTGCGTACATTCGGATCACAGCGGAGAGGAAAGTCCAGGTGCCAAAAGTGCGAGAGGATAAGGGGTTGGTGAGTGGACGACCATCAGCGGATCGTCCATTGTAAAGCTCCGCGGCGTAGGAATCCGATCGGTACGCCTGAATGCTGTTTGCCGAAGAGACTACCGAGACCTAGAAAGAGTTCAAACTTAGCGTGATGCTTAGGTGTGGATGAAGCGATTAGAGGAATTGTGAATAGGAGACGTACCAGGAAAAGCCACTTGGGCAGAAAGCCCTCGAAAGGAGGTAAGTAGGAGAGAATAGCAGCCATTGCTTATTGGGTGGTGTGCTGTGGCGGGGGGTATCAAGGGATTGACGGAGCCTTGCTTTTAGTTAGAGTGATGTGTGATATAGGTACTAGTAGCTGAGAGCTATTAGCAGTCAGTACCTTAGGGAAGGAGCACAAGCAATGGTTGGGGGCCGAGGTTCTTTTCTTGGCACAACAACTCTCATTCTGTTAACTTTCCTCCGATCTCCGCGTCGGCCGTGAATTCTCCCTCAAAAACCGACCCAGGTCTTTCTTCCATTGTTGGACCTCAATTCGTCTCATTCAAGGGGAAAAGGCGCCAATCATGGATTTCCTGTCGAAGCATACGACTTGCCTGTCTAACCTGGAGCTTAACCTTGCTCCCGGATGGCAGACCGTCAGCGCATATTTCCTTCTTGCAGCAGGAAGCTTGTTTGTCGCCTCTAGGGCATTGACCTTTGTTAGAGTCCTTGCCAGCCTGTTTGTTCTTCCTGGAAAATCGGTGAGTCGCGGTTAAAATCTGGATAGATAGACCTCAAAAACACTGACTTTCGATGTGCCAGCTTCGCTCTTTCGGCCCCAAGGGTAGCTGGGCCGTTGTCACAGGTGCCTCCGATGGATTGGGCAAGGAATTCTCACTTCAACTTGCTCGTGCTGGTTTCAACATCGTCCTCGTCTCCCGTACTGCCTCGAAGCTGACTGCATTGTCCGAGGAGATCACCTCCAAGTACGCCTCCGTTCAGACCAAAACCCTGGCTATGGACTTTGCTCGCAACGAAGATAGCGACTATGAGAAGCTGAAGACCCTAGTGGATGAGCTAGACGTAGCCATTCTAGTAAACAATGTTGGAAAGAGCCATGACATCCCCACTCCGTTTGCATTGACTTCTCAGGAGGAGATGACGGACATCATAACTATCAATTGCATGGGAACCCTGCGTGCTACTCAGTTGATTGTGCCAGGCATGATGCAGCGCAAGCGTGGGTTGATCCTGACAATGGGATCGTTTGGTGGCCTTCTCCCAACTCCTCTTCTTGCCACTTACTCTGGTAGCAAGGCCTTCCTGCAGCAGTGGTCGACGGCTCTCGGCTCGGAACTGGAGCAGCACGGTATCACCGTTGAGCTCGTACAGGCATATCTCATCACTTCTGCTATGTCAAAGATTCGCCGGGCCAGTGCTACGATCCCCGATCCCCGGTCGTTCGTCAAGTCGGTGTTGTCCAAGATTGGCCGCAATGGCGGATCTCCATTCTATGCTTACAGCTCATCGCCCTACTGGAGCCATGGATTGATGGCCTACTTCTTGACCTGTATCGCCGGAACCATGGGGAAGTTCGTTACTTCTCAGAACCGGGGAATGCACGAGTCCATTCGGAAGCGAGCTTTGCGCAAGGCCGAGCGCGAAAAGGCGAAGAAGAGCACTTAAGCGAAGGTATCTGCCGTGCTTAAATCCGTTGCTGCAGAGACTCGCAGTATATCGTGTGGTTGATACTGCAGGGAGGGCAGCATGATGACATGAATTTCAGTGTTTATTGGGTTAATCCGTTGTTTGAACGAGATTGGGCGCTGAATGATCTTGGATGAAGATGCTGCAAAAAAAAAGGCATCGTTTTATTACAGTAGTAGAAGTTTAATCGACGTCAGAAACACAATCTATTTCATGAGAGGCGGTTACTATTGTTAGTGTTCATTATTAGGTCACTAGGTGTTAGGTTGGCTGCCGGATAGTTTCTCAGTCTACAAGAAGTAACGCGGTATATAGCTTTCTAGATTCCACATTATGCATCCCGTGAGCAGCAGTACGGCCTCTCCATTCTGCATCAGACTAATCCTTCCCTCTCAGTATTGCGATGTGAGGTGCCAAGGTGCAGAGTGCTCAACAGCAACAACCATATATGCCGCTCGCAGGGTTACAGGGCATGTCAAGATGCGATCTGGTTGCCCACCATGCATTAATTGTCCCACAGTGACTAGCATATTCTATGTATCGTTTCAACACCACGGCGATCCGTTATGCCAACCTTGATAGCTTTAACTGCCAATCGGTAGCTCTATAACCTGACAAGAACATGATCTTTGCTACCGCATTCCAGAAATAAGGATGTGAGGATACCGTCGAGGCAGATGTTTTGTCTGAACGCTGCTCGGAACACCTCACAAAATATCTGGATTAATTTAGTGGAAGGGTTTAGGCAATACTAATTAGATAGTTCACATTGGCCAAACATAGTGATGAAAGCCTGGGGTGGCCTAAGGTGATGGGGATCTGATCACGTTGTCTATTATACACAGAACGTCTGAGGCGCCTGGGTCCACCATGGAATAGGCTGGACTCTCTAGGCCCTGTGTCTGAAAGTCCTGGCAGCCGCAATTTTGGTTATCGCCGGTTACAATGACCTTTGTCAAAGCTCCGTTCATTGCTCTGGAACCTTAACGCAAGTGTAAATTGGTGATATCAGAATCAATAACCAGGTCATCACCCGTGTTAACTCGAACGCGAGTATATTCCACAAGTCACGAATCTACCACCTTGGTGTCACCACTAGTGGCGAGTAAGAGCCTAGAACCCAAGTATTAATCGGAAGTGAATATGATCACCATGCCATGGACGGCAGTTATAGGCAGTATCGCATTAGCCTAATGCCTTAGGAACCCCAAGTATTGGCATTGGCATTGGCATGCTAGAACTGTGGGAGAAAGTCGTACGACTTTTCTAAACAAGGCCGAATGTCTTGTCCTTGGGGCAAGCCACTAATATAGAAAAAGCTAAGCTACTTTGATACAGCTATTGATAGGTAAATCCACCAACTCACCAATCAAATGCCAGCGATAGGCCTCAAAATGCAGCTGGTGTGGAGCTGGTGGCAGGTTACTGTATAGGGTTATAGTCTCACCTCCGGTGAATGTCTTTGTACTTCGTCGCCATGACTTTTCCCAAGGACCGATCCTGGAGTACCACGTGTTGCAGAAACCGGAGATTTGGGGGTTTTTGACTCTGGATACTGGAGTGCTGGGGTCTGGAGAAACACGCGATGTCTTTCTTGACATGGAGTAGAGAAGCTGGGGAAGTCTGCAGCCCAAGAGTTGGCGTGTAGCTTAATCCGTGATGTTCTGGTAGCACAAACATACAGACTATTGCTTACTATTTCTTCCGTCTATAGCACAATGCATTATTGATGGCCAGAATACAAGGCTGTTTGTTTCTCAGCAGTTTCAATTGTGCCTATCATGGTGCTATAGTGCTGTCTGATATCATCTGGGTAGCATCATGGATGTCGTATCCCGGGAGTACTGTGCAACTACTACAACCTGGCTACGAAAAATCTGTGTGATACTCTACCACGGAAAGTAGCATGCAATGTATCTTATGACGCAGGCCGAGACACCTGCGAAACACATTTGCCATCCCGAGAAACCCGCCAATAGTAAAATTTGCGGTGCCGTAACTCGTCCAGGAACATCGGTTGGTTTCCATGGTATTGCCGCCGAGCAAGAATGCACGTCCCGGTTTGTGATCTACTGATTATACGATCGTCAATATAGACAAGGAGGTAAAAAGAAGCAACAGACAAGCAAATACTATCAAGAGACATGAAGGCAAAAGAGTTATACCAGCACATGATTTAGATTGCATGATGACTTCCATGATTGTCATACCACCGGGAGTTGACCACGAATAGGGCCGCCTAGATGCCCGAATGACTAAAGAGGTTAACCACTTCTGTTGATCTGCATGCAGACTTTTTCCCGACTAGACTCAATCCATTAAGGCCTGTTTCCGTACGGCATGCCGATGTGTCCTGGGTAGGGTAACGCCGTGGTTTCACCGGAGGCCGAATTGGTCGAGTCTGAGAGATTTTTCTCGGCAAGCCTCCGAGTGGAACCACGACCCACACAGGAGAATAGGTTGTAACCTCAGCCGTTGTTTGTTGAGACTAAAGATGCACCATTCAACATCGGCTCGACTGAAGTCTGTACTTCTCAACAATGGTTGGATGGGAATCGGACAGTGGGTCAGACGCCAAGGTGCTTTGATGCGACGACCCACCACTTGAACGCACCAGCAGAAAATTTTCTCCTTGGTTAGGGCGAAGCTATTCCGTATGTGACGTCGAGTTGACCGAATCGGCACACCGAGTCACTGACGGACCACGATGCCGACTTCTCGGACGGCCGATAGGTTCGGAATGATTCCAGTGACATACATGCATAGCAGAAGACATGCATGGGATATTATTGTACAGAGTAGGTATCGCAGTCCAACAATGTGACCTTCCACTAAAGATTGAATTTGTCACCTTCATAATCATATTATTCTTTTTTTTTTCTAGCCAAGCCTACAGAGACAGAGTTCGGATGCTGCAGGTTAACTTTATCGGCATCATCATTTACCTTTTACTTCCCGACTCGGGATCGCCCAGAAATTTTTTTCTCTCAGGGTGGATCCATTTAGATCTGCCACGACTCTTGGTACCAGCTCGGAACCAGAAAACTTTACTCATAGTACGTATTGTGTGTCTTCAGGGGAGCTATTATTAAATTTGGCGCCAG